ATTTCCCACCAAAACCATGGGAAAATGAATTCCTCAAAACCCAAGAATTGGACACGTGTGGGGCTTTGGGTGGAAATTGAATTGCCAAGAATCCATGGCCAATCAAACATGTCGTGGGTGGAAATGGAATTTCATTTACATTTTTCATGAAAAAGTTCGTCAATCAAACAGTGCCTAAAAAAATAGTAAATTGGACCGACTAATTTCAGCCTATACGGAATGTATTATTTTAATGGTTTATTCCCTTGATAAATTACAAAAATAATAATAAAATTCTTACCGAGTCAACTGGAGAATCTGGGTCCATATCTTTCATATGATGGTATCTTTGATATTGTCGACATATTGGGCTGGACAAGTAGACAACGTTTGTTCAAGTCAACGTTATGCATTGTTCACAATCTCCCTTGTGGAAATTTTGTTCGATATACCTAACAATTTCCACACTGACTTTTATCGCGTTTTAGTAAAAAATTGCTGTCAAAATTGCTCGAAATTTGTTAATATCTAGTCTTTTAGGTAAACTAGTCAAAGTTAAACGTGCATTGCATATTATTCTAAAATACTTTATAATTATTGTAAAATTGATATTTGATATCAATTTGTTAGAAGGATTTGATAAGTCTCAAACGAATTAAAGAAAATAAAATTTGGGATACAAATTTAAGAGAAGAAAATTGTACTCTTAAAACTCAACTTCTATTATTTAAATTTTTTGTGATGATGAAATACTACAAATGAACAACGTTTTTATATTCTATTTGGTACATAAAAATTAATTGCATATACATGAATTTAAACATCTATTAAAATTTCTAGATACATGAATCGAAATAACTCCATCTATAATAACTCTAGATTCATATAGATTAATGTGAATATTAATTAATTGAGAATTAATAACATGAAATTCATACACGCCTAGAATTTTGTAATATTTATTACATATTGAAAAATAAAAAGCAATATATTATTAAAATAATTGAATTGTGGTAAAGTTAAAATCGTCCAAAAAATTATTCTCAATTGATGTGATATTTAATACATAATAGATAAACATGCCATGTTCATACATTTTGAGACCTAGTAACAACTTAAAATAGAATTTCCCAAAAAAATCCATAACTCTTTTTTCTTTTTACATATAATTTTTTCCATACACGAGAATGACAGCACTAAGAAAAAAGAAGTGCGGACTGGTAATAGATGGTCAACAAAGCAGATAATTTCCATGGGTTTGTACCGTTTGTTAGCTAAACGACCGCCTTATTTCATCATCCTACCTTGTTCCAAGAAACTTCATTATACATTCGTATAAGGATACTGAGGAATTTGTTTCCTGGCAAGAATCTTTCAAACTCACAGATTCATCCCCCTTCATTTGTCTGAAAAAACCTTAATTTCTCCCAAGACATTGAGCAAATAAAACATTCTGATAATATTTTTCCTTTAAACTGAAATGAATTATTCTGAGCTTGTCTCTTCCATTTGCACCCTTCTGTGTCTGATTTCTTGCTGTTCTGTCATTCTTGCTCAGCAGCCATATATAAAAAAGGCCACAACATTATGTGACAGCAGAGATAATTCAACTTCTGTTCTTGGCTATACCTGCAATGGCAGTAACCAGAGTTGTCAAGCTTATCTCACATTCCGAGCTCAATCTCAATTCGACAGCATCTCCACCATTGCTAAGTTATTGGCCGTTGATCCACCCCAACTCTCTCAGCTCAATTCAGTTGCTCAGAATGCAACATTTGATACAGATCGGATGGTGCTCGTTCCAGTCACCTGCTCGTGCTCGAGTCAGTACTATCAGACGAATACTTCTTTCGTTATCCAGCATGATAATACTTATTTCTTCATTGCAAACAACACTTTTCAAGGTTTATCAACCTGTCAAGCACTCCAGGCTCAGAACCGTTATCCCACCAGGAACTTATATGCTGGTACGAGAATTACAGTTCCATTAAGATGTGCTTGTCCAACAAAGAACCAAAGTAGTGATGGTGTGAAATATCTATTGAGTTATTTGGTCACTTCGGGGGAGTATGTTTCCCTGATAAGCAAAAAATTCGGGGTCAATACAGGGAACACGCTTAGGGCCAATGGACTATCCGAACAAGACTTTACAATATATCCCTTCACTACTCTTTTAGTCCCCCTTCAGGATCCACCATCAAGTTCCCAAGTCATAGGATCACCACCACAACCATCACCACCGTCATCTAGAACACCACCATCTGTCCCTCCACCGAGTGGTGGTTCAAATAAAACATGGGTTTATGCTGTTGTTGGTGTTCTTGGGGGTCTGATCATTGCATCAGTTGTCGGAACTATCATTTTCCGTATGTTCTTTCGTAAAAAGAAACAGAAAGCTGAACCAGCTTCCTCACCATATAGCATTGAATCAGTTCAGAAACCACTTAACAAAAAAGAGGATGAAGAATCACAGGAATTCTGGGACAGTATATCCAGTATTGCTCAATCTCTTAAAGTTTACACTTTTGAAGAACTTAGAGCTGCAACAGAAGATTTCAGTACTGCTTGTTTGATTAAGGGCTCTGTATATCGTGGTAGTATTAATGGAGATTTTGCTGCCATCAAGAAAATGAATGGAAATGTAACAAAAGAGATCAATTTGCTCGACAAAATCAATCATTTCAATCTAATACGTCTCTCGGGTGTTTGTTTCAATGAGGGAAACTGGTATCTTGTTTACGAATATGCTGCCAATGGACCTCTTAGTGACTGGATTCACAAAATTGATCAAAAGTTCCTGACCTGGAACCAGAGAATACAGATTGCTTCAGATATAGCCACAGGGCTTAATTATCTCCATCGTTACATGTCCCCTCCACATGCACACAAAGATTTGAATAGCAGTAATGTTCTTCTTGATGGCGATTTCAGAGCCAAAATCGCGAACTTTGGTCTAGCAAGGTCAACAGATGGGAAGGAAGGTCAATTTGCCTTGACGAGGCACATTGTGGGGACAAAAGGTTACATGTCTCCTGAGTATTTGGAGAATGGATTAATCACCCCTAAGCTTGATGTGTACGCATTTGGGATTCTCATGCTGGAGATCCTAACAGGAAAAGAAGTTGCTCTGCTGTATGAAGGCGTAAACACAGAGTTATCGGAGATGCTAATCCCTGTACTTCATGCAGAAAATGGAAAGGAGAATCTAAAAAATCTAATGGATTCTTCGCTACAAGGAACGTATCCCTCAAACCTAGCCATGTTAGTAATTAAGTTGATTGATCATTGCCTCAAGAAGGAACCATCACATCGTCCGAGCATGGACGACATTCTCCAGTCTCTGTCAAGAATTTCAACTTCTACATTGTCTTATGAAACGACAATTAGCATCTAAGAATACGATACTTTGCCTTGATAAGCTTTTGTAGCTTCCTTTTTTGTCTTCTAGTCAGCATACTCATTTGCAGTGGATGCAGATCTGTGTTGGGTTTTGGTCCTTGTTTGTAGCTATTCAATGTAAATTGAACAGCAGTTAAACTGTATCTTTGGTGTTTTCTGCACTAATTGTAAACGACGACTGAATAACAAGAAATAACAACCAACGTACAAGGAATTGATATTGAAAGACAATTGGTTTGCTGAACTTTCGATAGGTTCTGCTTCTCTCCCATTCTCAACTCTAATTTCCGGATGAATGAAACCGACTCCCAACCCCCCCCCCCCCCCCCCCCC